CATACTGAGTAGGTTAAGGCAGCTACAGTAATGTTATTTGACAAAAGAAAATATTGCATACATATTGCTACAGTATAAAATGGACATAACTGACACAATATGACTCCTTTATATGTGCAGAAATAAGGAAAAAGGAAATGTTGATTCTCTACCATTTGCTGACTACAGTAGATAGTTGTGTCAAAAGTTTTGAAATACTTTGAATTTATAGTTGAAAAAGCTGGGTGATTCAGTGTTGTTTGGGAATTCGAGGATGTTCTACACATCTTGGTAGTTTCAAACCCTCAACTTCAAAAATGCTTGATCATTAAGATGTAAACTACTCTCACTCTCTATTTGTTAATGAGCCAAAATATCTTCAGCCAAACAAGAAATGAGCAGTCGTATTAGTCTTAGCTTCTGCATTACAATGTCCTTTCGAAAATGAAAAACACCAAGCCTTCTGTCAAACACCTGGGTTTGTTGTTTGATGCACATTTCTTGTTAAATTGCATATGTCTAATCTTGATTTAAGTATTCAAGAAACATTTCCAAAATAATTTCAATTAAGAAAATGTTTCTCTTTTCCTCCTGTTCTTTTCCACCATTTACTTTATTTGTATCTTGGATTTCTTAAATGCCTTCTAAAGCAACTACATGCTGTGACTGTGCATCAGATATACAGAAAACACCTTTACTTAATAGCCTCTCTATTGTAGCTGCTGACATACAAAATGCATCCTGCTGCAAACACACACTGGAACGATGTCTAATGTGTTAAACCAAAGAAAATGTTTTGATTCAAATGGACTGGCTACATTGGAATACATATTAAATGTGAATTCATTGCAGTGATAAGTCCTATTCCTGCCCGGGGAGTCTGGGAGTATCATCTCCTACTCTCTTGTCAGCATGCCTCAGCAGCCGCCTCCTGTGTGCTCTGAGTAATACCACACAGACACAGAGAGGGCGAGTTTACGCAAAATAAAAAGATACAGAGAGAAAGAGGTAGAGAAATACTGATGTGAGGCGAGGGAGAGAAGTCGCGTAAAGATAATCAGCGATGAAAAGAGCAGGGTTGCAGACAGAGAGATATATAACGGCAGACAAACCACTCGTCCGTCACTAAATCATGTTTGTCATTCTCACAGAGAGAAGAAAAGAGAGACGCTATGTCCCAGGGGGAGCTCTGACTGCTTCTCCTTGATGTTATTGAGACTCTAAATCTTCAATTCATTTATTCTCACTCTCAGAACATTTTATCTCTGTATTTTTGTGTTTATGTGGGGAAAAATCCCTAAACAGGGAATGGACACCAAAGCATTTTTTGAGAATAACAACAAAAGTAATTCTGAGTAGACAAAAACTCTAGCTGTCAAACAATCATATATATTGTTAACAAACCACCATTTCGGCCAAACTTATGTTAAAGAGAAAAGGTACAATATTACCTAAACTATCAATTCATCAAAGAGTAGAAGTTCAACAATGACCTACCAAACGTGCTAAAGTTGTGTAGCCTACAGTTTTCCTGTGCAATGGGGAGACAATAGTTGTTGCAGTTCAGAAAATTCTGTTTCCGAATTCTGCTAAATTGAGCCCTGAATTCTGGGCTCTCTTGAGTTTTCCATTCACATGCTGCCAATAGGCCGCATATTTGATCATCGTATTGATTTTCATATCTATGGCGATGACATACAGCTGTTTGCCCTTTGAGAGTGCAAATATAGCCTCACTCCTCAGCTGTTTCTCTGACCGCAAGTGCTGGATGGCTCAGCGTTTCCTGTAAATACATCAATCATCATATACAATCATCTTATCTAAAAGGAGTCCTCGCCATTCAAAAACTGAGCAACTAGAGTGGTACAATAATACTTCCTTCAGCCTATTTCCTCTCAGTTTGACTACTGTTAAAATCAGATCCCATCATTCCCATTGTTGAATCTCTGCATCTTCTCCCAGTGTTTTTTTTAATTGATTATAAGATGTTCCTTGTACATTTAAGGCTTTGCTTGGCCAGGCCTCTAGTATTGTTGATTTGTTAATCCCTTATGAGCCACTGAGATCCTCAGGCGGGGGTCTCCTAGTTGTTCCACCCACTTGCTTTGTTACTCGAGGTCACTATTATCTCAGAATAGCCATAACTGTTTAGTATTTTGTTTTTTTACTGCACTTTGTACCTATGTTCAAAAGTTTTCTTATAATTATCAATTATTTAAAAGACCATTTCTAACATGTTGAATGCATTTTTTCCAGCTTTAGTGATCCAGCTTTTTTGTCCACCCGGCTGTATATTCCCACTGGTGCTGTCAGTGAACAAGCCCCTCCAAACCCTTTTCCTCTTCCTCGTTGAACCAGCATCTGCTGAGGTAAGAGGCCTGAACCCCCCTGAAACACACACACACACACTCTCCCTTCTCCCATGCATTGCATTCTCTCAAGCCTGCCATCTGCCACTGAGTTGGACAAGACCCCACTTATTGCAGCCACACATACACACACATGCACGGAGACACACACAGGCTTACGGCATCATTTAAAACCCTTGCCATTTCTGAAAAACATTTCCAGTACAGATGAACATGAATGCACGCACAAACACACTCACACAACCCAAAGTTAGCCAGCCTGCATATTTAATTAGGAGCCCCCCACGAACAAAACAGCTTGCAGGGGTCAATGGTTTTAAGCAGAGCCCCACCCCGCCGCACAGAGTCAGTGAACTCCTCCCCTGCACTGAGTGACTGGCCTGAAGAGGGGGGAGACAGTGAGGACAGAGAGGGGAGGACAACAAAACTCTAATTACTCCTCTGTGGCTCACTGGCCCCTCTAGCATTTTGATTTCAGCAGTACTGAGACAAAAGGAGGAGAACAGAAAGCAAGGGTGAGGACGGTGCAAAAAGAGAAAGACGCGTGCTGATTGAACATGAAACATCTCCCTGTGGCTCTCTCTCTGTCTTCCCTCTTCTCTCCCACTCTGCTTGTTGTAGATAATGGCCTCTCACTTTCACTGCAATTGTTCCTCACCCCTCACTTATCCACGGTGAATAATGATGCTTCCTCTCGGAGAGAAGGAGGAAGAGGACCAAGCCGTAGGCCATGCAATCTGATGGTTTTAGCATTCCCCGGCCACACTCGGCTCGAACAAAATCAACAGTTTGAGTCCTCTCCTGTATTTATATTCTCTGGGTGTATTGTTTGTTGTGTTTTACTCATTATTTACAATCTGTATCACCCAAAAGGCCATCTGCATTTCAGCAAATGTACAAAGAGACAGGACCCCAGAGGAAAAGCGGACGAAGGAGACTGCTCACGTCTTAAAAACAGACCCAGGCGAATTAGCAACATTATGTCTGCTCTCTGGGGACGTTGAGTCTCCGCCTGCCCCTGCCATGCCGCCATCATTGTCACTGTCACCCTGATGGAGTCCATGCAGGGGCAATGCCACTTGAGGAGACTTTCCTTCCTTAAACATGTGAAGCTGAAGAGACAGCTGGGACCCGCTCCAGAGGCTCCAGCTATTTAAAAAAAAGTCTGCTCAGTTCATGGCGGCCAGCCACTTTGAAGCTAATTTTCTCCTGTGTGAATTTTTTCTATTTCAATTTGATTTTTGCCAGTTTCCCAAAATAGTATGCAATGGATTCCATCTTATGTACCAGGTTGTGGTTGTTTTTGTCTTTTTAAAATAGGGCTGTAGTTATTTGGTTAGATTGCTGAGCTGGGGGCATAATTCATATTCTATCATATTCTTACAAGTAAAGTGTTATTTTTTGTCATATCATGCAAGGTTATAAAATAGTTTATAACCAGGCCATGTGCAGCATTACGGCCCTGCTGTAATTGAACCCATTAAACGCACATTATCTGGTTCAGTGTGTTGCGCCGCCTGTGCCGATGTAGGATGAAATGGGCCATTCTAATCCTCATTAACATAGCTAATTTCACATAAGAGAAAGTTGATAGTGGGTGTCAAAACCATTCAAAGGTCAACCAAGCAAGCTACATCATTTGACGTGTGAGTACGCATGCGCAAACGCACAAGTGTGTTAAATGATGTACCGGTTTGATCAGTCATTACGTATTCTGTATTACTGCCAAAATGGTATGGTATTTGACAAAAAAGGCAGAGCAGTGCATGACACAATTGATCAAATTGTCAAGGCCAGCAGTTGTTGGTTGATTGCACATTAAGGAGCAAAGATGGGATTAAAAGGAATGGATGAAGAAGAGAAAGGGCAACAGATATTTTTCATTTCATCTCGGGCTAACCTTTGGTTGGATGGATGAAAAGGGGGGAAAAACACGTGACATGTTGCATCTTTAACCGATGCTGTCACAAAGCAATGTCACAAGTGGAAAGAGGGGGACAAGTGTGACATTAGAGGCATTTAGATGCCGCCATGTGACCTTTAAAAGGGACAATTAACTGAGCTTCACACTCTCCATGCCAGCTGTGTTTGGCCGTATGTCAAGTGTCCAGCTGCATTCAAGAACTAAAAAGGGAGATAATTCAAATGGGTGGAGATAAATCAACACCAAAGACATATTTTGAGATATTTTCGTCGGAAAGGATTGGATTGGCAGACAAACATATCAAGGTGTACATGTAGTAGCTAGTATAAAATATATAGATGTGAAAAGGCTTTTCGAATGATGCTTTTATGCCACCTAAATATCTTAATTGAGTGTTGTCAACTGGACAACTGTCTCTTGACTTGGTAAATGAACAAACACAGGGTGATATGAAGGATGCTAGGGAATGTCTGACACAACAAGGATCCGTCCTGTTGTTGACAATAGAGTTTAGTGATTCTGGCATAGCTACATTTAGGCAACCGCTTACAAACAAACATCAGTGTCCTGCTTGACAAAACCTCTACAACCACCTGTTTTGTGTAAAAGCAAAGGAGATTTACTACCTTCTTTGACAGCTTACACTGAAGCAGCAACACAATTCAAAAGTGTGAGAAAGACCAAGATGTGTTTATTCCTTAACTGTGATGAAAAGGTAGAGAACTTACTTGGTCACCCTCCTGTGTGCGGTGATGCTGGCCACAATGACGCTCTCCGCTCTCGGGGTGGCCACAGCCTTGAAAGTCCCCCTCCAAAACTTCTCAAAGAGCTGCTTTTCCTCCAGCTGCTCGAAGCCGGCAGTGCTGCTCTGCGATCCAAGGGATGGAGAGGGGCCACAGGGGCCGAGTTGGAGCGAACACGGGGGCTCCATCTGTGGTGCCTTAGTCTCCGAACCAAAAACAATATTGTCTACTCACTCATGGAAACACTCGGCCGGCTGGTTGCTCAGGAGCTGTCCAAGTACTGAATGAAATCTTTCCAAGCGCAGTGACTGCTTTGCGCGATCCCCTCCTCTCAAAGCAGCGGGTCAATGTGTCAGCTCGTCTGTCTGCTCCTCGCTCTTCAACGGGAGCGTGGGGAGAGGGACAAAAGCTGACCCTCTCCAACTGAAAGCTGGTTATTGTTCTCCCAGATGAGGGAAGGAGGGGTGGGGGGGATTGTGTTTCTTTCTCTCCGCCTCTCCTTCTCTGTCACATCTGCTGCTTTTTGGTTTCGGGACGGAGTCGGGGTCTGGGCTGGGAGTCGGAGCTCTCCTTTTTCTCCCGTGTGCTCCCGGTCGGCAGCCTCACACAGGATGAGGCAACACTCACAGGAGCTTGTTTCAGTCCCGAGGGGTGAGAGTGGCTTTTCTTGATGCTGGAGTGCAATGTTTTGGTGTAGAGATGATTGCACTCCCACGCACACCGGCTGAAGGCTGAGCGGGTATCAAGGCAAGTGTTGCTCCGTATGTGAGGGCACGCGTGAGTGTGCGCTGGAGAGCGTGCGGTTGGAAAGTGAGTGAGGAGCTCAGCAGAGACGCTTGTTTTGTGTGTCTCGGTCTGTGACGTCAAAGACGGGGGCTGGGCGCAGGGGAGAGGGACACCCTCTGTCATCGTCACTGTCTTTGTGTTACACTTGTTTCACTCTGCCTGACCTTTGATTAGGTTCACATTTCATCAGTTTCTCTCTTTCTTACATCCGTTCCTTCTTTGTGTCATCGTTTATTTTTTTCTCCCTTCACTCATACGTTAGTATTTTTTTCCTTCTGTTGTTTACTTTTTATCACTTGGATACTTCTATTATTTAGTCAATTTATCGATCAATAATTTTCTAATCGATGAGGCAAAAACTCAAAACACTGGCTTCTACGTTGTGAGGATTGTCTGTTTTTCATCAATGTAAATGTAATATCTTGGAGATTCAGACCGTCGTTATGTTAACTACAACTATAAAATCCTGCAATGTGTTTATGTCTGTACTATTTTTCGGACATTTAAAGGCCGAATGGTAAATCCATCATAAAATAATTGTTAGTTTCAGACCTGTGCATTTACTTCTTAAAACAAATAATGTGTGCCTGGAAGAAGTTTCATGCTTTTTAAAAGGTGTTTTCTATTAATAAATGGATATTTTGTTATTTAAAAATAAATAAAACTGTTGCTTTTGCTTTGGTTGGTGCACCATGACTATACGCCCTCTACAGAGGGTAGAAAAATGAATGTAGACAATATCACAGCTCAGAACATTTATAGTGTCTTGATATATAATAGGCCTAAACCAGACCACGCTGGCACGCCTGCAGCTGGTACAAAACGCTGCGGCTCGGCTGCTTACAGGAACACGCAAGCATGAACACATCACACCAATTCTGGCTTCCCTCCACTTGCTTCCTGTTCATTTTAGAGTTCGTTTTAAGATTCTATTGTTTGTTTTTAAATCGCTGAATGGGCTGGCCCCTCAGTACATCTCAGACCTTCTACAGGTGTACACCCCCTCAAGGGCTTTGAGGCCGGGTGATCAGCTGCGGCTGGTAGTCCCAAAAACCAAGAAAAAGACCAGGGGAGACCGAGCCTTCTCAGCGGTAGCCCCCAGGCTCTGGAACGACCTGCCCCCCCATGTCAAATTGTCACCCACCCTCCAAACTTTGAAGTCCCGCCTGAAGACCCACCTCTTTTCCCTCGCTTTCAAGCTCTGTTTTATCAATGTTTATCCTTTTATTGTCTGTCCATAGCCTTTATGTGCCTTTTATCTATTCTTATGTATGCCTTTTATCTATTATTGTAATATTATATTTTATTATAATGTTATGTTTGCTGTGAAGCACTTCGGTAAACCCTCTGTTTTTAATATGTGCTATATAAATAAAGTGGATTGGATTGATGGCTACGTAACAAAGGATGTTCAGGAAGAAAACACAAGCCATTTTGTGTGTGTTCAAATCATTTTGAGCTTAAATTGATAACCAGTGGACGTGTTAAACAATTTCTGTCCGAACCAACATTTTATGATTTTATTATGTTATGGGCAAAACATTTTTGTTACAGTGACCTTGACCTTAATCAATGTTTTAAGCAATATAAGCTTTAAAAACACATTCGTTTTTTCAAAAACTACACTTCTCTACTCTAAAATATTACCTTGAGCCAACAGAAATGTCCTGAAAGCAGACATTGAGGCTTGTAAATGTGCCTTTTTAATTCACTCATTAAAACTCATTACATTTAAAGGGTTAGAAGTGACACACTTTAATACAAATCCAAGTTAATATTACATTTGGTCTTATTCTTTATTAAACTCCTTCTTATCGCATTAAAGTAGTGTTATATTGCAGAATATTGCCATTGGAGTAAAAGTAAAGTTCTTTATATTGTTAAAGTAAATTAGGTTATTATGTATCCTATTGTATGTCTTATCAATTACAGCTTTTTATAGCATAAGTGAATATAGATTCTACCAGTGAATTAATCATCTTATTTTAGAGACGTAGCCTGTATTTTCTGTTATAAATAGTTGCCGTCTGATATTCAATATAAGAGAACAGCATTTTACTTTTATGGGATTGCAATTTCAGACATCAAAGCAGAGTAGATTTGGCAAATGAGACTGCAACATATCCATCTGTATTTAAAACAAAGCAATGTCAGCTCCACTCACAATTCATGTTGGACATCAAACAAATATGGCACAGAGACCTAGAAAAGTGCAGTAATACAACTTCAAAGTATTAAAAAGAGAAGCATTCACACTTTCATCTGAATGTGTTAGGTAACTATGATGTGCTGGATATAAATGTTTTTAGCTTTTTAAAAATATTTTCCAATAGTTGCTTCTTTGCAAAGAATCTCAACAAAAGCTCAGTCCGATATGCACACATTAAAGGATATTGTTGGCAATTAATAGATATGCAGCAAACGCATACTATTAATACAAGTTGCAGTACCTAAAAGCATGAGGCTTCAGGTTCCTCGGTGTCCACATCACTGAGGACCTGACATGGACTCTTCACACCACCACCATCACCAAAAAAGCTTGACAGCGGCTCTTCTTCCTCTGCAGGCTGAGGAGGTTCAACATGGACTCCAGGATACTCTGCAACTTCTACAGGTGCACCATAGAGAGTATCCTGACCTGCTACAGGTGCACCATAGAGAGTATCCTGACCTGCTACAGGTGCACCATAGAGAGTATCCTGAATGGCTGCATCACGGCCTGGTACGGCAGCTGCACCGCCCTCAAACGTAAGGCTTTACAGAGGGGGGTGAAAACTGCACAGCACATCACCAGGACGGAGCTGCCATCCATGGAGGACCTTTACTCCCAGCGCCTCAGGAAGAAAGCCCTCCGGATTATAAAAGATCCCCATCACCCCAGCCACAAACTGTTCAGTCTGCTGCCGTCTGGCTGGGGTTACCGCCGCATCCGGATTCAAACCACCAGACTCAGAGACAGTTTCATCCCACAGGCAATAAGACTGTTAAACACCTGAACTGTTGAAACAACATCCATAACATTCATCTGCTACTTAGTAATTATTTATCTATTTCTCTAATATATCATTCCAATAACTTGCATATAGACTCTTATTGCACTATTTCACTTTTTTAAACTATTTTTCTTTTTGTATTTACTATTTACTATATTTTTCTGTTTATCTGTGTTTTGTGTTGCACTGTTGGAGAAGCCTGTGACCTAAGATTTTCATCGGCATAACTACACTGTAGCTATGTTCGTATGACAAAAATAAAGAACCTTGAACCTAAGGCAGGAAATGCCATCAAAAGAGGTTAGTAAGCTTAGGAACAGAGGGTGTTCCGGTGATGGAGGGATGCCAATAGCAGACAACAAGGGTCTGAAGTATTGGAATATATTAGAAAGACTGATTGATGATTAGAAGTCATTTAATACTGATCGACACCCAACATGCATGAATTAAATGCTTTGCTAATCTATGACTGATGGAGTTTTGCTACGTAAAGCCACTGAAGTCAACTTCTTTACAGGCTGCAACAGGTAAACATGAAAAAGCTAAAAATGTCTTAACATTTTGCAAAAACGAGGATGGAACACCTCAAAGTCACATGCACTTAAACACAACCACGTATTTTGCTTGTAGATGTCCATTAAAGCACCAATAAACCTGTATTTCTCTAAGTGACTTCTCACGTCTCTGAGATAGCATCGGGTCTAGACTATAAACAAATTACTTCCCTGATAGCCATCTCCCGTCCTCCACCAACACAACCAACCCTATCTTTAATCAATGCTTCCCTCCGAGGAGCTTTGGAGAGGAGATGGTCCTTCAGTTTGTAGGAAGACGATCCTACACGCATCATTCTTTCCCATCTCCAAACATGGACACAAATGCTGCAGTGCAGTAAACAAGTGACATTTAAGAAAATAACAAATATGCATAATCTCAGCCAGTAGCAAGCGTTTCTGCACGCTCAACTCCTCGAAACAAATAATATTGCATATGTCTGCTTCTCTGAATACAGTGTAATGAATTATAATAAATTCACTATCACAGCTTGTACTCCTCAGTCGCCTCTTGTGTATTTCACTGCATGTGCTTACGTCTCTCCACAGAGGCACTTACATTGATACATATTCTTATAACTAATCACTCTCCTTTACTGGCGGCCTGGGCGTGATGTTTCCTTGTTCTCACCATGTGTTAACACAGGCAAGTTTTATTTTGAAACGTGCTTTGCTGTGTTTTTTTGTTCTTGAATTTCACATTCTAACTGTGTCGTTTGAAAACCCGCACAAAGTGATCCTTTAATGCAGGGGATGCTCTCTGAAGGGAGCGAGTTGTAAACAAAAGATTATATCGGAATTCACGGAAGATGGTGGTTGTTATTCATGACTCGAAATACTGCTTCATGTAAGCACCTAATGTCAGTTTGATCCAAAGACTAGATGCTGTAAAACTAACTCTGGCACGTATAGCATTAAAGTTTGTTTTGGATCTTCAAAGTACAAGCTGACTAGTAACGTTTTGTGTTTGTTTGTGTTCTTGTTGTATTATCCTTTCAACAAATAGTGTGAGCCCTGTGTGGACAGGGATCCGGGATGTTAAGACGTTTGGTATTTAAAGGAGAATAAAATAATGAATGACATCAATAAACCTCTAACTGAACAACACTGCCAGAGTCCTGTCAAAACTCTTGCTGATAAAGTCACAGGATGCGATATCACTGCCAGGAAGAGATGAGAATACAAAGTAGTTTGTTGAGATATTTCAGTCCGAACAACCGACATTAGAGGCATGGTGCTATCGTGGCTACGTTAACAATAAGCACATCTTTGTATAATTCAGATATACAGAGCTTTTCCATGTTTATATACATACTGGTGTTTTGTTTTTTAGAAAAGGCTGACTGGCCAGGTAAATTGAAAATTAATAAACTTAGAGATGGAATACAATATACAATGTTATTCTCCTGGGTTATTTCACCCATACTATATCATTGCCAAAGGCTGATTTCTAAACTTTAAATTGCTTTTGTGTTCTCAACGTTATTGCTTTTTTAATCGTAAAATCCTTTTATTTCCTTTTGTTTGTCAAAACACTTTGTAAACTAATTTCAGCTAAATTATTCTCATCAAATCATCATCATGCCTATTTCCTGTTAGATGATGATCACTGTCTGATGATTTACAGGTGTGTGTGGGATATATTAAGACTCTGTGCTGTGAATAGCCACAGCTGTGCCTAATCACAAGAGGATTTATGCTTTGCTGCTGGAGAGGATCTTGTGAAACTATGGTTCTTCTTTCTTCTGTTTTTCCATGAATTATCCATAGATTTGAACAGTTGTACTGTAGCCTTGAAAAAAAAAACAAGTTTAATGCACCTGGCTCCTGGTTTGCTCACAAGAAAACATAAGAAGTAGCCAAAACCAATATTAAGCCAAAGCAGAACGTTTTCTAGGCAACTTAAAAAACAGATGTTTCACTGGTGTAAACACTCAAATGTAACCTATCCTGAAAAAAAAGGCAGCCTGCAAATGTCAGCCATCACCACCCCATTGTTTTCTCTCTCTGTTATTGTAGCTGAAGTGAAAAACTAACTCCACTCTGTTCTGCAAAAGCGTTAACCGCTCCTCCTCAGGTGGTTTCTGAAGGCTTTCCAACCCACCTGAGGCATATATCACTGGCAGCCTGAAAAAGTCTTAAAGCCAAGTGGGCCAAGTGCCAAAATTCAGTCCGGCAAAACACCACCCGTGAGCCGACACATGGAAACATATATGAGCAGACAACAAACCCACAGCTTAATGTGTTCCTGTTGAGCCTTAAGAAAGACTACAGGACAAAGGCACTGTTGAAAAAGTCTTACTTGACTGGCTTCACATAATTGGAGGGAGACAATGTACTGTTCCTTGTAGCAAATCTCAACCTGACAATAGAAACTATTTCACCCAGCTGTGAAAAAAGCATTCAGACACAGTAGCAGTTCAGTAACAGCTCTTTAGGTTTAGGTTTGAAGATGCTAACGCTATCTGCATCCTTGTTATCTAAGAATACATCCATACAGAGATGGCTGAATAGATTTTTGCGAGGACATACATTCACACAGTAACACAAAAACAAGAAAATGTGCCAAATCTATAACTTTCACGTTCAGTTGCAATAGAATGTTTTTTTTTAATACAGTTAAAATAAGTTTTGTTTTTTTAATTTACATATTTCATAAACCATGATTTACACATATATTAATTGTTTTTTCAGTTATCCTTCTGCAAGAAGATTAGGGCTGCAACTAACTGGTCTTTCCATTGTTGATAATTATTCACCCATTAATATATTATTAGTTGTTAACTCAGAAATGTTTGATAAGTTTTATTGCTTATCCTAAAAAAATAATAACACTTTTCCATAAGAATTTGTCCAGAGGCCAAGGCAATGTCTTGTTTTTTTATTTAATCTAAAACCTCAAGCAGTCTAAGCTAAAATGATGTTTTATAATCAGCAACAAATTATTTGGGGAATTTTTGCCAAATTAATTTTTCTTTCATAAGTGAAGAATGTGAAGCATCCTGCGGTCATGATCATAACACTGTTCTGTATTTGATGATAACATCGGAAATGTAAGTGGAAATCAAATAGAGATTGGGTTGAATTATGTTTTGGTGAAAGAGGAACTATTGGAAATATCTCCAAATGAATTGCGTTAAAAGTAGCCCATGTTACAGTACTTCATAGTTCGCTGATCTGCTGGAGAGTTATGTTCAAGTATTTGTGTGTGTGACAAAAATTAGCACAATAATGTCCTACAATCCCCTATCTTCACGTTTGTGCGCCACTTTGCATTTTGGTGTTGCATTGTCAAGTTCAGTCTCAATGTGGCACAACAAAGACTGCTTTATCTTCACTTGGAAATTGTGACATTATGAGTGCATTGGTATGTAATGCTTGCAATTAACTTATCAGCATATTGTCCTTTGCCTGGTGAGGGGGCGAGGGTGACACATCATGTTTTTGAGAGCGCTGGCAGTCAGCAGCACTGAGCAGGGCTTGTGCCAGACATCAGGGCTTACAAATGATGGGTCTTTTCAAATATAGAACATACAGCACAGTGAAAACACTAAACATGATTCTCAAGAAAAACATTGCTGTCATATTGCAAGATGGTTGCCAGTCATATCTTGCTTTTATAACGCAATCAGAATAAACAGGCACTTGTTACATCGCTATTACTCATCTCACCAGTCTATTGATGGATATTCTCACTGTGCGGTCTTATACAACACCTTTCCCTTTGATTATAAGAGAGAGATGGTACCAAAGTTAACAATACTACCTCAATATTCAGATGTCACTCACTTTTAAAGTTAGGTTAACTTGGCAGTTTGTATTATATAGCAGTGAATGAGAGCTTGACATAAGGCTTAAATCTCCTGAACTATATGTTCTGTTGGTCAGATGTTTATATGTTCGAGAGAGAAGAGTTTTGTAGCTTTAAAGAGGTTCTATTTAGCTTTTTGGGGTTTTCTCTTTACCTGTAGTGTGTTATGTAGGTTTTGTAAATGGTCTGCAAAGGCTAAAATCCCAAAGTTCCCTCCAGAGGGAGTTTCTCTCCCACACTCTCCCCCCTTGCCTGAAACCCTTAAAGGTGACCTATCATGCAAAATGCACTTTTGTACGTCTTTTATACATGAATATGTGTCCCCGGTGTTCCAGGGAACTCACCAAGTGCACA